GCAGCATCTAGTCGTTGGTAAATTCGTCTCTCTCCATATTAATGTCCGATTGTTTGGCTGTGATTGGCTCAGCGGGATACTGTAGCTCGTTGGCGGTACCGTTTTGTGGTGCGGGACAAAGTCGATTGATACTTAAAGTTGATTACTAAATGAGGGCGACCCTTCCAGGAATGGCCCCCTTTACCCATGACGGCTCGTAGACCATCTTGGGCTCTGGGGAGAGCCCTGTGGTGGACTCTCGGGGCACTCCGGCCCCTCGAGATTTACCTGCACGTTGGGTCGGTATTCCAGGCTAGAATAGGCTGGACGGGTCCAGCCTAGCCCCAGAGTCATCCGGGACACTTGGTCCAAGGCCTCTTGGTTTTCCTAAAAACCAAACACATTAAAAAAATAATAAAAACTTGAACGCAAAGCAAGATTTCCAAGCAAATCCCCCAAACCACTAGAACTCACTTTCTGGGCCATATCGTATCTCGTTGCCTCCCATTTCAGCTCTTTTCTCCATCTCAGGACATCGGCCCGATTTTTCTCCTCAAAGGCGCGATGGGCAGCCGCCAACCGGAGGCATTCCGCCTCTAATTCCCTAAGTTCCTTCAACATCTGACTGGCGTTCGACCACTGAGGAAGGCACACCTCGCACTCCTCCATCTGAAAGTTATCTATATCTTGACCGGTTTTAAAACAAAATTTTTGTCCCTCTCCTCGGAAAAAAAGAGAAAAATAATTCACTGGAGGCTCCTCCATCTCTTCAACGGAATCATCCGTGAAGATACCCTCTTTTTCGGACGACGAATCAGTCAAGGAGAAATCGTTATCAAAAGGCATTTTTTTCCAAAGCTGCAAAGCCAAAATGCATCATACATTGATAACCTTATCGATACCCGAAAAAAGACACGCAATTGGATAGAGGATTACAAAAAAGTACAGAAATAAGAGAACTTCGAAGGACACAACCATTCAACAACTACTAAAGATTGATGAATGGTAAGTCTACATTACATTTACTCTACCATTTACATGTTGCATAACAGGGTCAAAGTCTTCCGCACCCATCCTGGTCTAAAGAGGAGCTTTTGTGCTTTTGTGATGCTTTAAATATTTCAAGCGTTGTGCAGAGAGCCTATCTTAGGAGAGCGCCTGTAGGAACAGCCAAAGAAATAATAAGATAGTTGAGCAGTTGCAATCTGTTTGGTGAGTGATCTTGCGACGAAGACACAAAAAAAGGAGTTGTCTCAAGACGCTTCGGGGACAGTCAGCAAGCGCGCTCCTTCGCGGATTCTCTGCGCGAATCGAACAAGTCGGCGTCCCAATCTCTCAATAAATGAAAAAGAAACACCAATGCAGAATGGGTGATATATTCTCTCTTCCAAATGAATTGCTTATGCTCCTTCTGGGGCATATGGATGGTAATGATGTAAGATCGTTTGGAAACACTTGCAGGCGCTTCAGGTTAGTCCCTCATTCGTGAAAGGGCTTTTTGTATCTTTGATACTAAATATTCTAGGAGTTTCATACTTTCCAATAAACTGAAGTTACCTAAACCTGAATTGAAATGGTATACCGCTCAACTCGCTTTCGGTCGAAGGATAACTCTTGTACGGCAGCGTAGCTTTCTTCAACAACG